GAGAGTAGTAGATTGCGATATTACGATAGTAGGATAGTAGAGTAGGAGATTAGGATAGTAGTAGATTAGGATAATGCGCTGTAATTTTTTTTCCATTCTTTTCCCATTCCTGAAATATAAAATTTCCCTTGTAGCAGTCATTAATACCTCGTAATCGATCTTATCGCTATTTGTGACTGCAGTTTGAACAGCAACGTATTGATAACTCTCTGCAGTGCAATTACTCAAAATTCCAATAAACTGAATTCTTTCCAGGGCAATGCGGTGGTCGTGCAGGCGACCACTACGCAGGCTTTGTAATTATATTCTCAGCGAAAAGTCTTATAACCTCCGATGTTTTTCTCTCACATGTCTAGTGCTTTGTCTTTTTGTTTACATCACGGTAAGTTTTACAGCGAAATTTGATTTTTAGTACTTCGGTATGCATATTTTGCTTGATTGAAAGTTTTCAGTTCTATTTCATACTTTTTGATAACACTGTGATCGACACGCAATATGTTAACGCGGTTGATGAGTCTGTGCTGAGTAACAGGTATTCAAGCTTTCGGTTCGATAGTGTTTTCAAGCTAAACTGGGAAAAAGTCTAGGAATGTTGGAGAGCAAAGCGTGGTTGTGCACAGTTTACTGCCTAGGCGGCCGGAGGCGTCCTTTTTGGTGGTTTTTCATTCACTCAACCATCATCGATAACTGCCATCACTGGTAAAATTCAGTGAAATTTTTGTTGGTTCCATCTGAAGAGTATTCAGTCGTAAGGTGAATGCCAGACTCGGCGATTGTGTAGTCACCGCAACTCTGGCGTGGTGCCAGATTCGCGAGGGGCCTTGATGCCGGAAGTTCTCCACAGCATAGCTCATGTGTTCCGTTCAGGGTGGATTTCCACGAAATGGCTATTGCACGGCTCTGTTCCAACAAGACATCAAGATGCTACAGCGTATACGACAGAAAATCGTCGGTGGAGTGAGGATTTTTGGCTCCATTTCGTTTTTTTTTTCGGAAGTTCCTCGTCCATACCTCCTTTGTTCATTTAAGCGTGTTAATTTTTACCTTATTGATCCATTGAATCTCATATGAATTCTGTCATTCCCAAGTTTGCTGTTGTAGTGGAGCGATAACTGTATACTATATGTAGAGAAATGCCTTTATCACAGTAACTTACTGCTTCTGCTGTAAACATGCAAACCTAATTACAGTCTTTGGCGTGTTCTGCTTTGATAACTGCTGCCTTTCCTTGCGGTTTACGATGTGAGTACTTGCTGGACAAATTGTTTTAAGTAACGCGGCGCTCTTGTGAAGGCGAACTCAAATAATCCATTGCGAGTAGATCAGCAATCTCGATCGATGTCTTTCGAACATTAATTCGAAATCATCATGCACTTTTTTTAGGATGCGGTCATACCTTGCGACCTTGTTCCACCAAAGAAAGCGAGTTTTGCGCTTTCCGCAGCGCGAAGTTTTTCGCTACGGTACCCCAGGTCCACCTCCGGGGACGTATCCTACCTTACCCATAGGCTAAGGGAATATTTTTTAATTATTTTTTTTCAACGATGTACTTTCTTTCTGCTAGTACTTGTTTACTTTTACACGCACATTAACACAAATAGGCCTTTTTTGGGGCATCACGGCTCCCCCACTTTCTTCACGATTTGGGGCGCGGCCGCGGCGAGCGCGGCCGAGTCGATAGTGCCCGCGAACTGTGTGGGTAAATTTGAAAACGCATCACCACCACAGTTCGCGGGCACTATCGACTCGTCCGCGTCCCAAATCGTGAAGAAAGTGGGGAAGCCGGGCATCGCCCTACGGTTAGGATGAGATACAGCCCATTATCGTGAGTGGACCTGAGGCTCTTACAGTGGAAAAGTATTGTGCTGTATCGCCTTCTGTCTCATAGTTAGGCCAATGTTATACTTCGCGAATCAAGCGATTTGCTGGCCGCAAAGCGACCGCGGACGCAAATGAAAATGAACATGACATCGGCTTTAGCGACCCACACTATTGCGACTGCCTTGCGCTTCGTTTACAATTCGAGAGTGGAGTGGATGCGTATCGATCATGAGGTCGCACAACCTCACGATTGATACCTATCTTCTCCATAGTCGAACTGCAAGGTGACCGCGAAGTATGATCGCACCTTTAGTACACGTATTCATTGGAACCAAAAAATAGTACAGGAAACCTGTCAATCTGATCATAGTGCTATTTATCTCGAATATGTGATCGGCGCTACGTTTTTGTCTTTTCTTCTTTTATTTATTTTCTCTCTTCAATCGACTCACTGATCCGACATTTCAATGGAATCTTTCACTTCTGTATCTAACGTTGGTTGGCTTCCTGAACTATCTCATTCGTTTTGCAGTGGAGAAGAGATTGTCGAGCGACATTTACTTGTAGACGGATTCTCTGATGAAAGCGATACCGTTGTCCGTCTCATTCCTCCTAGTGGTACTATTTAGTTCTGAGCTTTTTTTTTCTGATTTTCCTTGATCGATTAAGAAAGTCTTCTTCAAGGCGAAACTTTTGAAACATCGGACACAAGGATATGGGCGCTCGATCACTCTACGATACGTGCTGATTATGTATGTTTTTATCATCATTCATCCGTACTTGATAAGTTGTCGTCTCAGTTAATATGTACTCTTCAGACCTTTAATACTTTTTTTTATCCCAGGTTGCTGGAATGTTGGTGGCTCCATTTTTAATGACGTCACTTTCTCTAGACTCTGGTGACAGCGGGAGGAAGGTACTTGAGATTGGACTTGGTGGAGGAAGTTTCGATATGGCGCTGCACAAAATCAAGCGTGAAGTTAGTAACTCTTAATTTTTCTAAAATTCACTTCAGCTCTTGTACTACCACAAGTCCTGTCTTACCTTTTTTCGATATCTCAAATAAGGTGTTTTGAACTAGGTTTCCAGACGTAAAGGCATGACTAAGCCTTAATTGCCACAAGACCTGGATGCCAGGCAGTAAAACTTACGAAAAGCGCGCCTCACCATGAACGTGGTATTTATAACCCTCACAAGGGAGGTCTTTCAGGGCAAGGTGCGCTTTTTCAAAACGGTTTTGTGCATATTGTAGGGACGCATGTAGGGAACGCAAAACCATGTTTCATTTTCGCTGAGCAGTACCAAAAGAAGCATAAGGTACTGTTAAGGGTTCGATCCCCCGTGGCGACTAAATTTTGCATTTGGGTTGGCGCCTACGGTTTGGTGCCAAATCGCGCTAAATATCAAAATCAGATGTCAAATTCATCGTCAGGACCATTTTGAAGCCAACAAGTGGCCGCCAACCTTGATTGCAAAATTTAGTCGCCGCGGGGGATTGAACCATCAAGAGTATTCACCACTTTTTGATACTACTAAAACCGTTCAGCGAAAACGAAACATGGTTTTGTGGTCCATACATG